TGGAATCACAGGTGGAAGTGTCAGCCACGGTATATCCAGATGTACTAAATACAGCTGTGGGACTTTAACTATTTCTTCACTTCTACTTCCTTTGGCCACTTCCACCCACAAAACCATCCAAAGAAAGGCTGTCCAGGCATTTGTAGATACAGGATAATATATGTTATTAAATCCACGTCTCATTATGCAATACACTCATAGGTTAATGTATATATTTCTTTATAGCTCTGTATGTATAGGGGAATATTCACGAAGCATTGCATAGGTGAAACACTTAATTTTCCGTCACTACCATAACCTTAATGCAGTCCTCTATCAATTCAAGCATCCTAATTAATTGCAGCTGAATTTTAGTTGAAAATATTGAAATGGATAAAAAAAAAAAAATGTATCTTAGATTGACACCAAGATTTAATGATTTCTGGAAAGTTATGCCATATTTGAGTAGGCTGCTCATTCCTTGTCATCTTTGCAATGTGTGATGGAAAGTAAAGTGGAATTAGACCGGAGATTATAGGAAGTGCGGAGACAGCTGGAGTCATCATGCTCTTTAACTAGAGTGGGAGGATTTACTGAAGTGGCTGTGAATCACAGGTACAGTTAGTTACATGGGAGATCAGTTATGACCAGAGGAGGAAGGGGCAGAAGTCACCTTGTTGTTCATGGTATGGGTGTCTGGACCCAATGGTTGTGTCTGTATGTGTTCAAGTCCCTCAGCAGTTTGTATAGTCTTCCCAGGGTTCCCAGGTCTTAAGGAATAGCTGATAAGTGTCCCTAAGTTGTGCGGTTAGCTTGTCCATTAGGTGTGCGTCTTTAATGTTGTGTATGACTTTCTCTATTTGTGGCATGTCTACATGCAGCCACGTCTTTGCCATGGCCCGTCTGGCGGCTAAGTTTATTTTGTTAAGTAGTTTTTGTTCTTTATGCGTTAGGTTATCGATTGGCGAGGCTATGAGGAATGTCCAGGGGTCTGGTTGGATGTGTTTGTGGAGCACTTCTGTCAGGAGCTTGGCTATACTTTCCCAGAAAGTTTGTGCCTTTGGGCATGTCCACCACATGTGGAGGTATGTGCCTTTATCCCCGCACCCCTTCCAACAGGTGTCAGTGGTTGTTTTGCCCATTCTGCATTGCTTTACTGGTGTAGTGTACCACCTCATTAGGGTTTATAACATTGTTCCTGGTGTAGGACGCAAATGGAGTCCTTCGCTGCTGCCTCCCAGATATCCTGCCATTCCCCGCCCTCTAGTGGTTGTTGGAGGTCTGCTTCCCATTGTGCTACGTATGTGGGTGTTTGGGCTTCGCTTGTGGGTGCGCTTAATTGCGTGTATAGGAGTGTGAGGAGACCGGTACGTGGTCCATCCCTGGTACAGCATGTTTCGTAGAATGTTGGTCTGGTCATGGCTGCTGTGCGGATTTGTGGTTTTGCAGCAAAGTCTCGCAGTTGTATATACCTAAAATAATCTTTCGTGGTTAGTGGGGCCAAGGTTTTTAGTTCGTCAAAGGTTGGGAATCTGCCTGTTTGAAAGAGTTGATGAAATCGCTGTAAGCCTGTGTTCTCTATATTTCTAAAGTCCCATGCTGTTAATCCCAGTGGGAATGCTTTGTTGCGTAAGTAGGAGGCTGGGGGCGAGATTGGGTGTGAGAGGGCATATTTGTGCGCGGTAGAGTCCCAGATTCCGATCGAGTTCAGGATGGTGGGACAGCTAGTGTGAAATTCTGGTCTGTCTGCTCGAGGCAGCCA